ACACACACGCACGCATGTGCACACACACATGCACACACACACACACAGACACACACACACACTGGCAGTCGAAGTCTTTGAGCAAGATGCTGAACCCAGAGTTGCTCCCGATAGGCAGGTCATGGGCCTGTCATGGCTGCTCCACCACCGCTGGTGTGAATGAGGGTCATAAAAACCGTGCATGAATGCAGTCCATCTACCATCTACCATATAGATTCATAGTTCATAAGTCTTTATTTGTCAAATGCACGACGATTTCGAGGAAACAGTCGTCGGCAATGATATTTCTGTTCTCGGGCTCCCTCAAATAACGCTACTACGAACGAAATATTAAAAAATATTAAAATGAAAAAGGATCCAAGACATGAAATAATGCAGAACTTAAACATATAATAGATTATATATATATGTATATACTGTATATATGAAGATATGGAGCCTGTGATCTGCAGTTGGACCCGTTTGTGTCGTCAGCAAATTTTAATGCATTCTTCCAATTTTTAAAAAAATATTTTAAAGGCGCAATGAGCAGGATTTGTCGTTATTCAAAGTTCTTCTCCAGCTCGACGAGGGTTAAAGGTTGCCTTTTTAACTACAATTCTTTTCTGGTTTCCTCTTGGATGCCAGCTTTCAAAATCGAATCTTGTCGTCTTGTTTAATATAAATAAATATATAATTGACCCATAATCTAGTAAAGCTTTGATTTGTAAGTGTTCATTTTAAAGTACATTTGATGTGCGTGAGAGGGAGAGAGAGGGTTTAAAACCCCGGTATGACAGGGACAGAACACTTTCATGGAAATCTGACCAGCGGCTGTGGAGGTTGAAGTGTGTTAATAATATAGATTGTTGTGTGTTGTTTCTCCTCCTGCAGGATCCTCAGCTACAACTCTCTACGCTGCATCCCTCCTCTGGCGCTGGGTGGCCTTCGATCTCTGAGGCTGCTGTGAGCTCACACACACACACACACACACACACACACACACCATACTTGTCACTGTCGTCCCCTCGCTTCATTACAACAAGCCACCATCTGTTTGTGGACTCTGTGGTCTCTGAGTTTTCAGTGTCGACCGCCTCTCTGACCCTCCGCTGTGTCCGTCTTTCAGCTCTCTCCACGGCAACGACATCTCCGAGCTGCAGCGGGGCATCTTCAGCGACGTGGTCTCCCTGTCTCACCTGTAAGCACTCAAACATACGTGTAGCACACACACGTACACACGCAACGAACAGCAGGGTCCGTCCTCGCTGACAGAATGAAGTCTGTGTGTGTGTGTGTGTGTGTCTGAGCAGCGCTGTGAGGACTGAGAGCTCCACCATGTGGCTTTAAAAATTAGTGCAGAAATGTAGTTTTTTTGTTTTCTCTTTCTCTTGTTCTTTCTTTCTCTCCTTTGTCTCTCTTCCTGTCTTTTGGTCTGTCTGTCTTTCTCTCTCTTCTCTTTCTGTCTGCATGTCCCTGTCTGTCTCTTTCATTCTCTTTCTTTTTCTCATTCTTTCTGTTTTTCTGTCCGTCTTATTTTATTTTTGTCTGTCCGTGATTGTTTCTGTCTCTTTCTTTCTGTCTGTCTCCTTCCTCCTCTCCTCATCCTCTTAACCTTTATTTATTTTTTGTTATCCGTCCTCTCACACCTTTCTCATCCATTTCTTTTACTCCTTTTCCTTCCTTCCTTTACTCTTTCTTTCTTTCTTTCATTTTACCCTCCTTCTCCCTCACGTTTCTTCTTCCCAACCTCTATAATAAATTAACTTCCCTCTTCCCATTCTTCCCATTCCCCCTCTCTTTCCTCCCCTCTGTCAGTGAGGCTGACTCTCTGTTTATTCCTCCTCCCCAGAGCGATCGGAGCCAACCCCCTGTACTGTGACTGCCGTCTGCTCTGGCTGTCAGACTGGGTGAAGAGCGGCTACAAGGAGCCTGGCATCGCCCGCTGTGCCGGGCCGCGCGGTATGGAGGGCAAGCTGCTGCTCACCACTCCCGCCGACAGCTTCCAGTGTCAGGGTAAGCCCCCCCCCCGACTTTAAAATCACACATGTGCAAAACTGTCCATGAACGAGAAGCTCAGCAGCTGTTTCTCGTCTTCAGCACTTGTTTTGATCGTTTTTGAACATTTTGTCGTTCAGTAAAACGTCTGTAATTGGTTATTAATAAAGTGCTTTCCATAATGAGTGACCTGACATCTCAAACACATTCACATGACGCTATGTTGTCCTTCAGTGATTTGTGATGAACACAGGTTAACCGGCTGTTTTATTCCCGTGTGCTTCTGTCTTTGTGAGCTGATCTGAGAGAATAAACGCCCACACGCTGTCGCTTCCTCCTTTATTATGTTTAATAAAAAAAGGAGCTTTTTAGTCTGCGTGACCTCCATCACGAGCTGGCTGCTTTCACTCCTACACACACCTGTCACAGCTGAAGACGCTGCAGTGCTCACTGTCTTCAGCTGCGACGACCTCGAAAAAAGATTTGACTCCGTTTCTCTGTGAATACTGTCGCCGTGTGAGTTGAACTCTTAACTTTTATGGGTTTTGTTAAAGATGCACAAGAACACACAAGCAAGGTCAGAGAGGAGCTAAAGCTGAACAAAAGTCATGTTTTCATTCATGTCGATGCAGGTGAACTTATAACATATAACATATCAAGGAACCTTATTTAGCTGCTTGATTGAGTTTGCAGGAAATAAAAGATGACGTTACGTTACCTTCAGCTAGATTCTGTCTTTTAGAAACTCCATCCAGAGAGACGTTTCAACAGTATTTGAAGTATTTTCTCATTCAATGTTACCAAAAACAACTGCCGGACATTTAACAGTTGAAAAATAAACGTACTGCTGGTGACATCCATGCAATTTTATATCCTTTGCAGTGCAAACAAAGCTCTTCATCACATTGTATCATAAGCTGTAATGTTACTCATGCTGCTTCATCAGCTGCACTGTAATCTTCATTGAACTCATCTCTGTGATCGTACACAGAGTGATCTTTTATTCAGTGTGTTGTACTCAGTTGGGATCTGCTATCAACAGGAAAACGCTTAATTAATCTGCAGTGAATAATAACAAAGGTTCAGAGGCAAATCATCTTAACAGCTGAGAAACACACAATGGAGAGTTTAACTTGTGTTAGAAACACAGCAGCAGAGGTTTGATTCCTCTCTCCTCACAGTGTGAAGGTAGTGTGAACTTTACATTAGTGGCGGTTTTGTCAGTTATCACAGCCGCTAATTGATCCATTTTTAAATATCAAAATATTCCAGCAGTGTAGAGTTAATAGAGAGCAGCTCGCTGTGACTGATGATCCCTCACATCTCACACGGGGTCTTTTGCAGTTTCTGTATTCTCAATATGCTCGATAGAGACACACAAACCTTATTTATTATTAACGGTAATAACCTTTGTGAGTTTAAGTCGTTTGAAAAGTTCAAATGTGAGCTTGAACTTCTCTGAAGTGGATCACGTGTCAGTTAAACATCACAGCAACCGCTTCTCTCTTATTCTTTACCTACTGGTACAAATAATAATACATTGCAGCTATATACAAGTGTCATAGATACATGTTTTAAAGGAACATTTCTTCTTCAAACTGATTATTTTCAGATTGTTTTTGCAATATTGTGATGAATGGAAGAAGAAGAAACAGAATGCAGCCGTAGCTGTTCGTCCACCAGCATCTGCTAATATTTCATCTGTGTGTTATTTCTCACTCGTCTGTTCATTCTTTCTCATATTTATTTATGTATTAATTTGCTTTTCATGTTTTCATTGCTTGCCTGTCATCTTTAAGACCAAACAGAAGTCATGTCAGAACATAAGTATAGTGTCACATCTTCCATAAGCAGCACTGAGTGAAGTGATGACATACTGTACGGCGAAAACACAAATCATTATGATGTTTCAGGTTGTTTCACTCAGCCACCAGGTGTGATCTGATGCCTTCTATTTATATCAAACTACTGCTTCTTCTTCTTCTGCTCATCCAGACACACTAAGAACTGATCGCTCCTGTTCTGTTACAAAGAAGCGTTTTTAAGGCTTGTTGACAGTATTCATAATAACTAGTCTCAGTCAGCTCATACCATTAGTCGATTAGTTGATTTAATTGACAGTTGTGAGTTTCTCCACAAAATCACCACTTTGAATCTTATGTTTAACAGAGATGTGCTCGAATGTTTCCTGGAAATAAATCATTCAGCAAGAAAAAGCACAAGAACCAGCTGAACGACTAAAGAAATCTTAGTCGACTGAGATCAAAAACTAATAATTAATAGACTAAGAAGGTGCAGTTTTAATACTAACGTCTCGATAACTTGACATTGATGAAGATTAAACCACTAACTGTCCTCTTTGTGTGTGGGTGTGTGTGTGTGTGTGTGTGTGTGTGTGCGTGTGTCTGTCTCGACAGGTCCGGTAGAGGCGTCTGTTCAGGCCAAATGCAGCCCATGCGTGACCTCTCCCTGCAAGAACCAGGGTGTCTGTCAAGTCCACCACACAGAGCTGTACACCTGTACCTGCAAGTCCGGCTTCACGGTACGACACTGTGTGCGTGCGTGTGTGTGTGTGTGTGTGTTGTATGCTGCAGAGAGGCTCTTGTGTAATCTAGTTACTGAGTTTGTCTGTTGCTGCCAGCACCTTGTGACCTCGTAATGACAATGTTTCGCCCTGTAGACACACGACGACAATCCGTTTACAAACCCCGAGCTGAACATTTGAAACCGCTGTGTTTGCGTGCTGTCGGCGATTATTATGAGCCCACATCTGTCTCTGATAGTAATCCCATCAAAATACTCAGTTGATGTTGTGTGTGTGTGTGTGTGTGTGTGTGTGTGTGTGATATTTCAGGGTAAACACTGTGAGACTCCAGTCGATGCTTGTGTCAGTAATCCCTGCACCAACGGAGGAATCTGCATCAGTGACGAGCAGACGAGAGGATTCAGGTAAGAAGTCTTAAAGCGTCTGTAGATTGTGATGGAAGAACAACCACCAGCAGACGTGTCCTGCCTGAGAACCCTGAAACACATTCAGGACGTCCCGGTTATTGACGCGCCTTCAGCGTAATCTTTTCCCTTTAAGTTCATCGTCATAGTTGTGAATGCACCTCTGCACAACTCTACTCTTTAAGTACACACTTGCGCTACTTTAAGTGTCACTTTAATAACATACTTGTCTTGTAGTAAGTGTGAATACCGAGGTGTGTTTGTCTCTTTGCTTTTTGTCCGTCTAGCTGCGCGTGTGCGTTTGGTTTCCACGGAACCTTCTGCGAGGTGAACGTGGACGACTGTCAGGACCACGGGTGTGAGAACGGCGCCACCTGTGTGGACGACGTGGGCAACTACACCTGCTTGTGTCCTCCGAACTACACAGGTGAGACACCGGCACCGGCGCTCTGCCTCCTTCTTCCACTCAGGGATATTCATGAGGAAACAACAATAAATACATATTTGATTTATTAGAAAATAGCATGTTGAGAGGAGAAAATATTGTTCTGAGAGTGTCTCTCTCTCTCTCCGCTCGTTCTCAGGTCTGCTTTGTGAGGAAGAGGAGGGTGTGTGCTCTCCAGGTAGAAACCCCTGTCAGCATCAGTCCACCTGCATCAGCACCCCTATCGGCCCCAGGTGACGACACACACACACACACTCTCACACACACTCACACACACTTTATCCCTGCCAGGCTCAGCAAAATTTCGGATCCCAGATGAGATTTAAAATATAGACACAAGCAGACAAGCACGTATAAAGGTGAATTTTGCTGAGGTCTGTGTTGACTCCCCAAAATCCTACACCATGTGTCATGAAGTGTGTGTGTGTGTGTGTGTGTGTGTGTGTGCGCGCTCTGCAGATGTGTGTGTATTCCAGGCTGGGTGGGGCCAGACTGCAGTATAAACTACAATGAATGCGTGGATCATCGCTGTCAGAACAGAGCTCAGTGTGTCGACCATCTGGACGGCTACAGCTGCGTCTGTCCGCAGGGATACAGGTACTGGGAACACTGGGAATACTGAATACTGGGAACACTGGGAATACTGAACACTGGGAACACTGGGAATACTGAACACTGTGAATACTGAATACTGGGAACACTGTGAATACTGAATACTGGGAACACTGGGAATACTGAATACTGGGAACACTGGGAATACTGAACACTGTGAATACTGAATACTGGGAACACTGGGAATACTGAATACTGGGAACACTGTGAATACTGAATACTGGGAACACTGGGAATACTGAATACTGGGAACACTGGGAATACTGAATACTGGGAACACTGGGAATACTGAATACTGGGGACACTGGGGACACTGGGAATACTGGGAACACTGGGAACACTGTGAATACTGGGAACACTGTGAATACTGGGCACACTGTGAATACTGGGAACACTGGGAACACTGTGAATACTGGGCACACTGGGAACACTGAATACTGGGAACACTGTGAATACTGGGAACACTGTGAATACTGGGAACACTGGGAACACTGTGAATACTGGGAACACTGGGAACACTGGGAATACTGGGAACACTGTGAATACTGGGAACTCGGGCAACACTGTAGATGACCGCACCCAGGACATTGAAGACTGTCAGGACTCTGGAAATTAGGGAACAAGATTTCTGTTAATATGTTAAAGGATTCTTCCCCCAGAAAGTGATCGTTTGTATTTCAATCAGACAATAAAAAGTGTCTTTGTTATCTTGAAGGAAACTTTTGTTTTCCTCACACGCCTCCGCGGTGAACGGAGGATCAAAAGACGGAGAAAAAGTCTTAAAAAATTCCAAGTAAACTGGGGCAACGTTCAACAACAGCCTATCTGAAAACATGTCTTTACAAACTGTCACACAAGTCGAGCAGTATAATCGTCTCCTTCATCCGTACGCTCACTATACAACATAAAACACACGTCTTCAGTAAAACATGGCTATTTAAAACACACGAGTAGCGCACCTGAACCAGCACGAGAGTGTTTATGAGGCAGTGTTTAGTACGGTTTAGTGAAGATGCGTTGGTGAAGTAGTGAGCGTACGACTTGATAAAGGAGACTCAGATTATACTTCAGGAGTGAGAGAGTTTGTAATCAGCTGTTTGAATTTAAGGAAACATGCGGTAGATTCACCGAGTGATTTACTACGAACCCTACGATCAAACTCTCCGACACCCTCGCCGACTTCTTCTTCTTCTTCTTCCTCCCAGTGGCGAGTTGTGTGAGGCGGCCCTTCCTGCCCCGTCCCTCTGCCAGCTGACTCCGTGTCAGCACGACGCCCCCTGCGTGGAGAAGGAGGGGACGGCGGGCTGCCAGTGTCTGCCCGGCTTCGAGGGTCAGAGCTGCGAGAAGCTGGTCAGCGTCAACTTCGTCGACAGGGATTCTTACGTTCAGCTCCAAGACGTCAAGAACTGGCCTCAAGCCAACATCACTCTGCAGGTGATAGAATATCAACTATCAGCAGCTCACACACACACACACACACACACACACTCTGATTAGTGTGTCTTAATGTGTGTGTGTTTCAGGTGTCAACAGCAGAGGACAACGGCATCTTGCTCTATAACGGAGACAACGAGCCAATCGCTGTGGAGCTCCATCGGGGTCATGTCAGGGTTACATATGACCCCGGTAACCAGCCAGCCACCGCTATCTACAGGTACACCCACCCACACACACACACACACACACACACACACACACACACACACACAGTGTAAACTAAAAGGAAATAAATAGTTAGAGTGGAGTTGAACAGCGTTTGTTCTGTGCCGTGTGCTGAACCTGACCAGCTCAACATGTCTAACATCACATCATCGTGTTCCCATCATCACACTCTGAAAGCCGAGGGCTCGCCGTAGCCCGGCAACGCCACTCAGAGCGGGTTGGTGTCAGATGTGCGTCGTTGCTCAGAGCGAGTCCTCCGGTGTTTGGGAATGTGGACGGTGCGACATCGGCGGCGTGTGTTTTCTGGTTTAAATTAGAGACGCAGCCGGAGGACACTCGAAGCTGACTGTCCTCTTGATCAGGTGTCGAGAGCTTAAATGTTTGGATGGTTCACTGTGTGTGTAACAGCCGGCAGCCTGACACGCACACACACACACACACACACACAGTGTGCTGCAGAGAAGAGGAGATTGAGAGCATGACAAATCCTCTAAGAAGAGAAAAGATCTAAGTAGCGAGAAAACAGTAGAAAGTTTAAAACAGCTGAACAGGTTGTTTTAAGTCAACTTACACAAATATCAACTCTTTTGAAAGCTTCATTCCCAACAAGAAGCCGGCTAACGTGAACACAATATCCAGCTGAATAAACAGAGAGTAATTAAGTGGTGATTAAGTCTAGTTCTGAAAAAACTACGAGGGATAAATTGCATCGTTCTGTTTGTGTTCAGTAGTTATTTTTTGGCAAACGTTATGAAAATGAAATCTCTTAAAAGGTCATATTCTGCCCGTTAAAGGAGAGTCACTTTTCCTCTTTTTCTGTTCTTCTTCTTCCCGTCTTTTAAGCCCCCTTATTTCAGATAACTCGATTGAATCGAATAACCGACAGCTGAGAACTAACAACCTGCAGTAACTGTGCAGCTTTCAGCCCTTTGTTTCTGTCTGCGAGGTTGTGCATACACCCGACTGTAAGGTTGAATTTCACATATCACCAAACACACAGTCTAAAGCAATAAATAGGCATTTCCACCAAATCGCCATCTTGTTTTTATGGTTTGGGAGCGACTTGTCAATCACAAGGTAGCCCCGCCCTAAAACATCCCCTGCTTTATGGTCTGTTTGACTCTAACTGGACCATAATTTACAAAATGAACATCATTAAAGTGTAATCCAGAGTAGGAGGATTAGGAGTCGTGTCTTTGTGTGAACACGGAAACCAGTGAATATTTAAACAGGACCCTCAGTGATGAATATTTAGTGTGAAGGTGTTAGAAACACCCCACCAAAGAAAATGTAATCCCAGAAACGTTTCTGCTGTCTTCGTCCCTACGTTGTGGATTTAATATGAAATGTGTGTGTGTGTGTGTGTGTTGCGTCCTCGTCCTACAGCACAGAGACGGTGAACGACGGGCAGTTTCACACCGTAGAGCTGGTGACCTTCAATCGGATGGTGAACCTGTCTGTGGACGGAGGAGAGCCGACGTCCTTGGACAGTCGGGGCCGCAGCCAGCCGGTGACGGGGGACGCGCCGCTGTACGTCGGAGGTAAGAGGGGCAGCGGCGGGACAACACCCCTGAGCTTCACGGGACCAGAAGTTAATCCATCTGATTGGTTCCCCCGTGTAAACGCCTGTCTCTACAGGTATGCCCGAGGCGGCGATGGATGCCTCTCTGGGTTTCTCCTCTCAGACCCTCAACGTGTCCAGTTTCCACGGCTGCATCAGGAACCTCTACATCAACCACGAGCTGCAGGACTTCACCCGCGGACACATGAAGCCGGGCGTGGTGCCGGGCTGCCAGGCCTGCCGCAAACTCTACTGCCTGCACGGCATCTGTCAGCCCAACGCTGCTCAGGTAGGAGACGGACAGACGGAGTACCACAGACCCTCTTACAGCTTGTAAACAGTGACATGCATGAGTTTGTCAATGTAAGTAGGGTGGAGTGCAAAGGCTTGTCAAGCTGTGTGAGGACATTCATATTAAAGTAATAAGATTACATTTTATTTTTTATAATAATTTGTCTCTTCACATGAAGGATAAAGTAGATAAAGGAGCAGACATGTTGTCTTTCACAGGGTCCCCAGTGTCACTGCCAGTCAGGTTGGACGGGACAACACTGTGACCAGCCGGTAACAGCCGGCCTGACTGGAGCGGATGCTGTCACATCGGCAACCGGCGTCAACCCATGCGACGACAGCAAGTGAGTGCGGTTTGAAGTTGTGTCAATGTGACAAATATACAACTTTTTATGTTGATTCGTCTTTTTTCCTCTTCATCTTCCTTCGCTGCGCTCATCGACCCCCCCCGAGGTGTGCGAAGGGCGCATGCGTGGCGCTGGATGCGCAGACGTACCGCTGCGACTGCGAGGAGGGATACCGCGGCGCGCTGTGCAACCTGCAGGGGGAGCCGGCGGGCTCGTGCCGGGGGGTCCGGTGTCTGCACGGTCAGTGTCAGGAGACGGACGGCGGAGAGCGCTGCGTCTGTGAGCAGGGATTCACCGGAGAGAGCTGCGACATCGGTGAGGGAGGAGGAGGGGGGGGATATGACTGGCGTATCAGGGCCTGTGTAGGTTAAACAAAAATCAGTTATATCTATTATATTTAGTTATATCTCAATTATAAATAACTTGTAATCCACAGAGTCCCCGTGTCGAGGTGAGCCGGTGAGAGACTACCACCGCCTGCAGCACGGGACCGTCCTCTGCCAGACGTCCAAGCCTTTCTCCTGGGTCGAATGTCGGGGTCGGTGCCAGGCGGGAGTCGAGCCGGACGCCGCCGCCGCCGCCGTCGCTTCCTGCTGCGCGCCTCTGAGGGTCCGACGCCGGCGGCTCACCTTCGAATGCGACGACGGGACCTCGTTCACGCAGGACGTGGAGAAGCCGGTGGAATGTGGCTGCAAGGAGTGTGTGTAGTGCTGTACACGTACACACACAAACACACACACACACACACACACGCGCACACACACATCAAGCTAAAGAGGTACACACACTGTAGGGATTCGCTCACTGATAAACGGACATTTTAATGTTTGTTTTTGTATGTTTTTCGCGCGGAGACGCAGTTTTGTAACATAAGACAGTTCTTCCCTCTCGAAACATGAAGTCAACGAAGCCGACCTCATCGTCATCTTCCTCCTTCTTCACCTGCTGCAGGAGACCCTGCGCGCTAACTACCTAACTCCGGCTCATATTCAATCGCTCGCGTGTGTCGAAAAGCCTCCGTTTGCCTTCTCGTGTACGTGTTTCTGGTGCGTGGCTGGTTAAGTGCTGCTCTCCACTCCCTCACATACGTCGTATGTCGTAGTAACATTTAGTTTAGTGTGAAACCGATCGTCACCAACACCAACAGGGCCGCTGGCTAGCTAGCTAGCTAACTTAGCGATGTTCAACACATTAATGTAAGGTTATCTTACCGGATGAGTTACAGCGACGCTTTTTCAATCAGCCGGGAAAAGACAGAACGATGTTAGTGTGAGTTCATCCTGGTACGAAACACACGGGCATCGTAGCTTCAGAGAGAAACGTCACTTTTGTGTGTAACGAGGTATTTTCACTTTCTTATACTTCAACAGTTTTATGACATAATTAGACTTTCTTGACGTGCGGAATTATCTTTTAAATTGACAAACATCACATGTGACGCAATTCAAACGGGATCAAAAAATGATTTGAGTCTCGTCGTTGACCAGCGTACATATTTTTCAGGTCCGATGGTGTTCCGGCTGAAGGAGGCGTGGTTTCGTCTCTGTGGGGTTTCACACATTATTAATATAAAGCTTAGTTTATATTCGCCGTAGCGAAGCCGGCCTTGAAAATGACTTAATCTGAGCTTTAGAGAGACGTGACTGTAACAAATACTTCACTGATGAAAAAACTATCAACATGTCGGAGGATTTTGCAAAGACGTCGTTCCAATTCGTCGTTAGACTCTTTAGCAACAGGAGGTCTTAAAAATCTACATTTGAATAATTCATTTGCAGCCAAATCAAATATTTTACAGGATATTAAACCGTTGTTTCTTCGTAACGCGTTAAATACTCGACTTGTTTCTTAACAGGGCTCCAACAAAGACAATAGTGTAGTCCGTGAGTGTGAGGTATGAGTTTACCGATGATTACAACCTTTGCTGACAGTAGAAATCGTTAAATTGTAAAATAAGCTCAGGTGATTGAGGTTAAGTCATAATTTGAATATAAACAATAAGGTCAGCCATCAGCATGAGCAGCCGGAAGGTCAAAAGGTCACCGGGTTCACTCGGGGGCAGCTGAGGGGGTCACAACACGTCACAGAGCTGCTCACCAGAAGCCCTTTACTGGCGGGGGGAGTGTGTGTGTGTGTGTGTGTGTGGGTGCGTGCTTTACTCTTCTATTTTTGTGAGGACCGGTGTTTGTAGACCTTGAGAATGAGATTTTTCACTTCTTCAAAGGTCTGTTTCAAGTTTAAACTTGTTTTTTAGAGTTGACTATGTTCGAACGTCAAAGTTATATCAGAATCTCAATACTGGCATTGAATGACTTGTCAGATTCCTAATTTTACTTTTATTACTGATACAATACAATTTTCTCAGAGTAAAGTGTTGTGATATGCATCAGATATTAAAAGATTTAAAATAATACAGCCTGGGATGAGCCACGTATAGCTGCGATGGTTCGGGGCCAAGCAACACATTATGTGAATTAGGGTCCTCACAAGTATAGAAGTTCAGTGTTGTGTGTGTGTAGGTGTGTGTGTGTGTGTGTGTCACCATAAGACGCTTCCAACAACAGGACGCTGTCCCCGATAATGAGCTTCATTATACGACGATGCGGCGTGTTTGTTCAGATCAAACGCTCCGTCTCCGACTCCGTCAGCAGAGCCAGTGAACGCATCGCAGAAAATGTAGCTTTTATATATGATGACATGTTATTTATATGGATGTGAAACTAAAAAATAAAAACGCGTGATATTTCGTTTTAACATGTTTTAATTGTTTTTTTAAACCTTTTTTGAGTTAAATTTTCCACAAAAGTCGACGAGTTGTGTCATGAATCAGATTCAAACTAATGTAGCTTTTATTGTTATTATGAATACATCTACACACAGTAACAGCCTAACAGATTGTAATATATATTATAAGCTTATAATGCGTTTGATTTTGTCATAGTATTTTTATATGTTGAAGAGGATGTTGTCACTGAATCGTCTGTAGACTGTAGAGAAATCTGTTTTCAGTTGCAAAAAAAAAAAAAGAAGTTTCCAAACCAACCTCGCGTCATCGATGGGACTTTTCACAAAACAAAAAAAAGAGAGAAAAAATGTCAGATCGTGTTTGGGTTCATGTTGTCTCACCTGAAAGCAGACAACAATTAGTGCTTCTTTTTCCTATTTATTTAAATAAAAGAGCTGTTTCTCCTTCATTGTTTTTTCTTTTTCTTTCCTCTCCAACCTTGACACTGACTCTGGTGTTCTTGTTGTTGTTCTTGTTGTTGTTGCTGCCCTGACCTTTGACCTCATAGTGTCGCGGCTGTCTAGTGCCCGGGCTGAGTCGGTGGCCGGTGGCAGCTCGTGGAGCCGGGAGATGAGGGAGGGGAGGGAGATAGTGACGATGGGAAAAGGGAAGAGGAGGATGGAGGAGGAGGACAGGAGGCCCGTTGTGAGAAGGTAGTAGGAGACAGTAAAGATGGAGGACAAAGTGAGGAATGATGGAGGAGAGAGAAAGAGGGATGTCCCGCTGGGGGGGGGGGGGGAGCACTCTGAGACTGAAGCCGTTTAATGAAACAGTGATTTATGCATCCCCTCGTAACCATAAAACATAATATATACCCCCATCGGCTTTGACAGTCCCTCCTCCCCCAGCACACAGAAACACACACCCTTCCCTCTCCAGTGTGAAAAAGCTGCTGCATCTCTCCACCACCTCCACCTCTGCAACCCCCCCTTCAACCTTTTTACATCAGCACTTCTACCCCTTCCCCCTCTCCTGTCCTCTTTAAAGGAGGATAAAATCATAGCAGCAGCACCTTCCCAACCCCCCAATTTCAATAAAGCCTCCACATCTCCCCACATGGACACAAAGGACTCTCTCACACACACACACACACTCTCTCACACACACACACACACCGGCTGATTGTCAGCTGTGTGAACACAAGACGATTGATCATCCGCAGAATAACTGAGGTGTTTGTCTCCAAACTGGTTACAAACACAAACTATACGTCCAAGAAAGAAAAAAAAAAAAACAATCAGCCAGTGTCGGCACAAAATATTGACAATGTTATTTGGTGAATTTATGTTCAGAAGAAACGTATTTGATCTCAGAGGGGAAATTGGTTCATTAAAAGCAGAAGTGGAAAAACAAACGCATCTCGCAGTGATAAAGTGGCTCTTCTTTGTGGGCACAGAGAGAACTACAAACGGTTACGTATAGAAATGACAATGCATTGCACATATTCATACATAAACATAAGTGAATGTGTGGGTGAAGCTTTAGATTATACTCGCTTAGCAGCTGGCTAGTTAGCCGGCTGGCTTGCTAATTCCACCTGCTACAGTCAGAGAATCTAAAAAGCACCACATGAACTGCTGGCATCGGTCTGCGTTATGTCAACATCTAGCCGGACTTTACTGTTACTGTAACTTGTGCTAATGCTAACCGCTAGCAATGCAGGCTACTCTTGTGATGACGGTGAGGTGAAGTTGCTGTGAAAGGGGCCGTTATTGTGACAAAATACGGGATAAAATCCCATAAACATTTGTGAGTTCACATGCAAGTAGGTTGGGCCATTTTCTGAGCAGCTGTTTGATTTGCTGTTCTGTAAGAGGAAGGGATCGTTTTCTTTGTAATTCTGAATGCTAGCAATTAGCATTAGCACTATAGACCTGCAGAAACACAGTACAGTAGCAGGTAAACACCTCATGTTGTCCTCGTGTTCGAGCTGTAGCTGCATCCCCGACTTAATGAAAATAAACGTGACGATAACTGAAGACTGTTGAGTTAAAAGTGTAACTCTGACTCAATGAGGATGTGTGTCACTGTCTGGAAGCAGGTATACAAATATCAGTCCTGGTGTCAGTGTATCAATAACTAGTCAACATATTGATCGATGTATTGATTATCTGTTCCAGTACACTAAATGTTAAAGATATAAATGATAGTTTTAGTTTCATTTTCTATATTTTCCAGGAATAAATACACGTTTTAGCTGAAGACACACTAATGTAATGTTTTATTGAACTCTTTGTAGTAAAGCTTTACTCGTATAGTCTGTCTCCATCTTGTCAAAAAGAGTATAGAATTGCCTCACAAAGTAACAGGATAACATGTAGAATGTTTGATGGTTTACAGACTTCAGAGAGGATGAAATGATGTTTGGGACGGTGGCAAAAAAGTCTGGAGCCTCGTAGACCAGCTGCTATGATCTAACAACAATATGGATCATCGATGATCGGCTATTAGTATCAGCAGCAAAATACACATGATCAGGGATCTACAAGTTATATTTGCTCCCTTTTTCCTTTTGTGCTGGTTCGATCTTTGATCCGATCTGTGGCTCTGATCCGTGATCCGATCTGAACCGTGAGTTTTAGGGTCCAAATAGATGCAAAACGACCACAAAGAGCCCCCAAATAACCTAAAATAGATGCAATTCATCCAAAAGGTGCCCCAAAATAACCACAAAGAGCCTCCAAATGACCAAAAATAGATGCAATACATCCACATGGAGCCCCAGAATGACCACTAAGAGACCCGAAATTAATAAAGAATGATACAAAACATCCACAAGGACACCCACAAAAACTACAAAGAGACCCAAAATGACTACAAAGATGCCTGAAAATAGATGTGAAACAATCACAGAGATGCTAAACTGCTACTAAGGGATGCACAGTTCCTTATAGTGGACTGTTTGAGACTGTTTGAGGATGTCTTGTTCCTGTGTGGACAGGTTGTGGGGGGGGGGGGCTCTCACATGTCTGTACCCGGGGGCCCGTTGTCTCATACTTCGTCCACTTCAAGGCCCGGTTTTAATTGGTTGGCAGAGAAAGAAAAAGGCCTCAGGAAACGCGAAGAGAGATTTTCATTTGTAGCGTAACGTGTGGATGCCGTCTGACAGCAGCAGAGGGCAACAGGTTTTACACACCTGCAGAGGACGAGGACTACCTGAGACCTCCACTAACGCGGAGGGATCCCCCCCCCCCCCCCCGGCTGCTTCCTCTCCTCTCCTCCTCTCCTCCACTATTATTGATTCATCCTGCCGTCTCCTCTTAACGCTTACGTTTCATTTTTTCTCTCCGTCTCTCTTTCCTGCATTGTTTTTCGTTCCCTCCTCTTCCTCCCTGCTCTCCTTTCCCTTTTGCTCCTCTCTTCGTCCATCCTCTCTCCTCCTCTCCACCACTGAACGAGCTCTTTTGTTCATCTCTCCTTCTCCTTTAATCATCTCCTCGCACTCCTTTGTTTATTCTCTTTTTCTTGTAGTAATATTTCATCAGTCTTTTCCTGATTGGATTTAGTTTTGTGTCGTAGGATAATTGGTGTAGCCCGAGTATTAAGTCCAGGGGCTACCGTAGAAGAAGAAGAACCGTAGATGTCTCTCTGAACCAGCAGATTGCTTCTTCTGTAATCCACGGGAGCAAAAACGCTCCAATAGAAGCAGCTTTGCTATCGAAAGGCAAAAACACGTTGTATTGTATATTTATTTCAATAAGGCATCCTTTTTATATTCTTCATGTCTTTTAAAGAGACGAGCACATCGGAGACCTTGCAGTTGAAGTCTACAGATGGAGGCATTTCTTGTCTTCATTAACGGTTTATTTTTCTCTCTTCTCCTCTCATCCAGTCTCCTCTTGTCCTTGTGTTTGCCTTCCTGTCGTTTATATTTTTCTTTTATTTGTCTTCTTTCTCTTTGTCTCTAACTGTTCTCATCCATTTTATTTCTTCTCTACACTTTATTTGTAATCATCCCGTTTTCTTCTTCTCTCCCTTATCCTCCTGTCCTCTCCTTACTCTTCTTTGTTCATCTCTCCACTGTCGTCCTTCTTTTCTTCACACAAACTCCCTCCCTTTTCTCTCTCTCCTCATCCTCTGCTTCCTCCTCTCCGTTGCCTCTCCTTCGCTTGCTTCTTCCTCTCCTTTGTTCATCCCTCTCATCCTCCATCAAATCTTCTTTCTATGCTCTCCCTCTTCTCTCCTCACTCCCTTCTTCTCCTCCTCTTTTTCCTCCCCCACCAACACATTCACCATTTCCTCACCTCCTCCTTTCTTCTCCTCTCATCACCTTTCCTCCACTCGTCTCTTCCTCTTCCTTTGTTCATCTCCTCGCTCCTATTTTTATGCCCTCTTCTTCTTCTTTGTTCACTCGCCCTCTTCTTCTCCTCTTTTTCCTCCCCCATCCACACACACACACACACACACACCCTCTTTCTCTCTTTCCTCCTCCTTTCCTCTCGTGCAGGTCTTTCTTGCCGTAGAGCAGATGTCCTTTTATTGATATGATCATGGTTAGTGGTCTCTAGGTGCTCATCGGATCCACTGTATAACCCTCTGCAGGCTGCAGCCAGAGGCCCCAAACACACACACACACACACACACACACACACACACACACCCTGCGGCTACAGTGAATATGGTGAGTTGCATGAGAGGAAACAAGGAAAAAAGAGAAGAAGAAGAAGAGAGCAGAGGAGGATGGGATGAAGGCAAAGAAAAATATGAAAGAAGATGAGGAAGAAGGGGGGAGAAACGAAGTTTGGAAAGGAAGTTGAGGGGGGGGGATGACAGAGAAAAAGGAAAAGATGGGGGAAGGGGTTTGAGAGCGCCGCCGGCAAACAGAATATTTCAGGCCGTTGCCAAAAGGAGTCGAAACTACCAAGGTGATCTGGAGGAGTTCCTGTTGGAGGAGAAAGAAAGAGGAGTAATAAGAGAAGTCACAGAACACTGTCTCAATTACTTTCAATTAGGTGTGACCTTGTTGAACGAGTTCTCTCCTCAAAGGAAGTTGCGATTGTGAGGTTTTCATTTCCCAGAGAATGTCACCTTTTTATTATTTTATTGTTTTTTGTGTCACGGCCACGTCGGGTGGAGGAAGCTGAAGACGTCCAACCAGACGCGCCGAGGCTCCACGGTGGCTTTGGGGTCTCTGTCTGCCGGTAAAGGTTCACGAGGCTGTTTTGTCTTCGGTTCAGTCACGTTCTACAGCACAATGAAGCTCTGCGGAGAGTTTAAGGCTGATTGTGTGTGTGGGGCAAGGAAGTGGCTTTGTTCCCTTTGTTGGGTTTGATTTCTTTTATTGTGAAGGCTGATATATAAATATATAAACTTCACTATTTACTTCTGTTTGTAACATGAAATAGATCACTTTGAGTTAAATTCAGTCCTGAGACATTTTGAGAGTTTGTGGAGAACTTTAAGATTAAA